ACAACATAGTCATGGTAAATGGTTTTTCCTCTATGTTTTTTTTTTGGCTGAACTGTGCACAGAGAAATAAGACCGCTCCTGGGTTTTTTTGTTATATTTATAGGCATAGTTGGTCAGTTAAATCAGTTCTTCCTCCTGCCAACTTTCTCCTCAGTCCTCCCTGTTTTTGTGTTTGAGCTGAAGAGGGAGGAGCCAAGGAATGCAGGAGCTAGTTGAGAAAGAAAGAAAGAAAGAAATTCTTTCATATACTTGTTTATTTGGTTTTGCAAATTGGATAGAATAGAGATATCTATTTGCATCTTTTGCTTAAAAAGCTGTCTACAGTTTTTAATTGACTGTAATGGAAGTGCTCTCATTTTCCTCACAAACTGCTTCATTTAGAGCTTTTTTTAAATTTGTTTATCTGGACATATTTTAGCTAGACTGAGCAGAGGAATGGGTTTCAGCATCCAGTACTTTTTGGAGTGGATGGTCACATCCTGTGTTTTTGGTTTTTTGTTCCTCATTTTTCCAGAAGTCTAAACCAGGCATCTAGACCTGTTATACTGCTTCTCCACTTTTGTTTTGTTTTTTTTCCAGTCTCTCCTTCGTTTCTCTGGTAGAGGCATATTTTTCAGCAGTTACAGGAAGTCTGGCCCATCTGTTCAACATCTGGGCCAGCTGCGACATGAAAGAGCAAAGTAAGGGGAGGGTATGAAAGTACGTGTTAGACTATAGATTCTCCTCCTCTTTTAAAGAAATGACAGCCAATTTAAAATTTATGCTAGAAAGAAATGCATGTGTGATGCATTTTTTCCTGCCCACTTAGCTCTTATCTGCACCTCGCTGAGCTTGTTAGACAAAAAAAACAACTATTCCTATTCACCCACATTACATTACAAGCATCATGGGAACTTTTCACAGCTTTTCACTTTGTTGTCGTAGTTATTGATGACATGAAACAAAAATAAAAAGAAGTTATTCCTTGTAATCATGAGGGAAGCATTTTGTGAGCTGTCACCAGTTCAAGAGAGATATCAGCCTCTGAAAAGAAGATGATTCCTTTTATTTTATTGACTTGCAAATGATGTGTATCCCACCATTTAAAAAAAAAAAGCCATTAAAGCATACACACTTGATCTGTTAAGAAAATGGTAATAGACCACTGCTACAGCATGGCTGGAGATCTCCTCTCAGCAGTTGTGCTGTAGAGACAATGACCTTGGGTATGTCTTTGCATTTTCATGCATATTAGGCACATTATGCAATGACAGCTTTATTTGCCATCAGTGTATACATAGACCCCCTCAGAGGATGTTGGTAATTAAGTTAGAATAAATATTTTTTCTGTTGACTGGCTGGTTTTTAATGCATAACAACAGATACACCATTGCATGTTTTCCTCATTAGTTCTTTGTTAGTTTAGACTGTTCTTTTGAGCTGCTAATGAAAGACTAGAGATTAAACAATTTTAGTATTTTCTGTGATTAAACTGCTTTTTAATTTATGACCAATTACTGGTGTATATTAGCAACACATCTATAAGCGTACTTTTTGCAGAAGTAGTCGTGATATAACACATTGTGGTTTGAAATAATGATTAAAGAAAATATAAACAGTTCTCTATTTGTTATGTTTTTGAAATTATGTGTAACTATGTAGATGTATAAATGTGGTGCATTGGGACAGTTCAGGTCACTGTGAAACCCTTTGCTGCCTGCCATGTTTAGAGCGGCCTGCCAGATGGTAGACTTCACTGCTAAACTCTGCTGAAGGTGTCACAGATTTATTTTCCATACATGCTCAAACCAGGCTTCTGTGTTTGTTAGAAGAGCACTTTTAAAATGAAAAAGTAATTCAGACATGCAGACAGACCACATTACAGACTTTGTCTCCCTTCCCTCACACTTCTCCATTTTACTGGTCAGCCTGTGTTTTTCTGGGGAGAAAAAAATAACAGCTGCATGACATCAGGTCTGGAAGTCATTACTGCCAAACAGCATCTTGACATTTAACTCTCTGCTCTCCCTGCTCCGGTGTTTTGCTTTTGGGAACAAATGAAAAAGAGCCTCTGGAGGAATAAAAACCTCTACTTGTGTGGAACTACATTTCATTTTGATCCTTGTTTATTGCCATTAGTTTAATCCAATGCAGCAATACAATAAATCTCATTTAAAATATGAGCATGAAATCCCCAGGATACATTGCATTGTTTGGTTTTAGGGTTTATTGAGTTCACTCAATATTTAGCATGTGTAATATTCAGTAATTCTTGGAGAGTTAATTAGGTTATTGAAGAAGGAATTTTATTTTATTCCTGTTCTTTTCTCAGGCGAAGGGGTCGAGCCTCCACGTGTGGTTAATGTCTTTATCCCCGAGCATCGAAGTTATTTCATGCAACATTTGGGCTACTTCCTGGCGACATTCTTACTGCTGGGGTTTATCGTCATTGCTCTTATTATGCTGACTCGACGGCGCAAAAAGAGAGGTATTTTTTATTACAACATTCCTGCTTGGTTGTTACTTGTATATTGCAACCTGATTGTCTTTCTTAGCATCATAAAAAGCATATTTATCAGAGTTACATTTTGTTATTATTGTGTGCGCTTGAGATTTTTTTTCTGTTTTTTACAGGGCTGGAGTATGAGCTGGGTCGATCCCAACGGTAATGCATTATCATGTGGTTAATGTTATGCTGCTTTAACTTTACATTAAATCTAACATTAACTTCTTCACAGGGGAACCGCAATCGCTGGAGGTGAAGTAGCTTTAGACTGCACAGAGCTGAATTGCTGTAACCAAGAGCCTTTGAATTCAGGTGCAGTAAACTTCACCCAAACGCATTAAATACGCACACTTCGCTTTCCATCCACAGCTCATTTTCTGTGTGTCTACTTTAATCGACAGAGTACAAAAACAACATAATGAAAGAGCGCGATATGGCTAAAGACTGCAATAAGGGTGAGCAGAAATTGTGTATTTCAGGGAGTAAACACAACAATTAGCATCTTTTCAGCAGATTTTGGTGTTACGATTTCCCTTTCTCACCTCCTCATGCAGAATTTGATGGGAAGATGTGGAAGTGAATGTGATATTTCTGAGACGCCGCTGGCAGGTCCAGGGCAAACACGGGAAGAAATACAGGACCATGGAGAAAAAGGAGAAAATCAGGAAACCCAGGAGAGGACAGGAGGAATGCTCCCTCTGCTGTAACCCTAGCACACAAAGCTTTTCAGTAAAGGATATCATCTTTCTTTCTTTCTTTTTTTTTCTTTTTTTTACCCGATTTCAAAAATAATACACACACACACACACACACAAACACACACACACATATATATATATATGTGTGTATATGTATAGATATTTTTTTCCTTCTCACCAGCTGTTATAACCATATGGTTAAACTTATATTTGATCCTTCCTCTTTGCATTCAGTGTTTTGTTTATATTAAATACAAAGCATTTTCTTATATAATGTTTTTAAAATATGTTTTTTAACTAAATGCATGCTCTTTATTGAGGTATGTTTTATTATGTACTGCACATGCTTATGGAGCTACAAGCTTACGGCTCTTTTTAATTGTTGAAATCTGGATATTTCCTTTTCTTTTTTTGCATAAATTCTGCTGTAGTGTAAATCACATAAATCATAATGTTTCATAATTCAATTTACTGTATGTTGTAGACATTTTCAAATGTTGTTTGGAAACGAGTATGACTTTATTCTAGCTACACAAAACCAGATCTCAACAGTGGTGACAAAGGGACTACCCTGTTTTGTGGATTTTTCTTACAGAAAGGCAGATTAAAATTCTCCTCCCCATAAGTTACCCAAACTGACATTGTGTACAGTTACCTGGTTCACTGAAAATTTATCAGGTGAAAAGTAATGTTGTTACTTTTATGACAATGGACTATAGGCTCAGTCTGTGCAAACTCAGGAAAATTCTCGAACCATTCTTGTTTGCATCAAACAACAATAATGTACCCTGGTTTGTAAAACACTGAATTTTCGTGAACGAATCTTCTGGTTAGTGATACAGGAATCTGTTATCAACTGTGTAGCTATACTTCTGTGAGGAAAAAAAGTGTCTACTATATCAGTAATGCTAAATTGTAAAATGTAGATTAGCCTTCTTTTTTTTTTTAACTATTTCTTGCATTTCTCTCTGGCTCACCTGCACACTTTAATGTTCCTCTCCTCTAATAAAGATTTCTTCTGCTCACAACAGCAAACACTACATTTGCTTCAAGTGGCTTCCTTAGTTTCCCAAGAAACCACACGTGAGCCAATTAGTCAATTTATCTTAGACCTTAAATTTTGACATGTCTAACCTAGAAATGTATGCACCCAAACTATGCACGTTACAAGTTCTGCTAACTTGAAAGACTCCTGTACTCTCCTTTTCTCTCACAATTGTTAGTTTTTCAGTAGGTGTGCATCCATCCCTTATCATTCCACATCTGTTCTTGTGAAATCAAAGTTAACAAGAGCTAATCAAAATATTGGGTATTTGTCTTGGTATATGAGATGGGGACCACAAGTGGGACACCTGGTCATTCTAGAGTCCAAAGACATTAGCCCACTTAATCTGGTGAACGCATGACCAAGAAACTTGTGATGAATAAGTAAAAGAAAAATCTGCATGAGTATGTTATTTCTACAATATACTAATAAGACAATTTTGGCCTCATATATTTTGGGCTTCCCTTTATTTTCATAAGAATAAAAATAACTGATGAATAAATATCGGATGAATGCTTGAATTTAAGTGACGCTGCTTTACGCAATAGGAACTGCAGTATAAAGTCAATTATAATAACAGGAAAGCAGTATCCATGCTTCATTGGGCCGCTGCACATCCTCCTTTGTTCTATGTCATGACTGTAGGCTACTGTGGAGGAAGCTGTGTGAGTGTGTTGTATAAGGTGGCCTGCGCACACCCCAGATACACCGCTAGATGACAGCACTGTCTAACCAATTAGCTTGTGAAAAATAGCAATATTCCCAACTCCATATCGCAAGGATGTGGACTGTCCCTTCCTGTTTTAGTGCCGAGAGAGCCACCGTACCGACTCACACTGGAGCAGGAATACAGGCACTCATAACGCGATTATGCCTGGATTTTCGCTGTGTTTGTCAAAGGCACGGAGTTGTATTTTCCGTCGCGGGCTATACAGGGTTATATATTAGGGAACGCTGCTATGTTATTCTCCGGGTAGCTGGTAACATAGCAGGCCTGTTTATTGCGCTGCCAACCCTTTTTTGCTTTCCCATGATTGTCCTCCCCTTTTCACACTCTCATGGCGGAGACTAAAATAATATATCACATTGACGAGGAGGAGACTCCTTATCTGGTCAAACTGTCTGTTCCTCCGGAGAAAGTCACATTAGCGGATTTTAAAAATGTCCTCAACAATCGGCCGGTCAACAGCTACAAATTCTTCTTCAAATCCATGGACCAGGATTTTGGGTAAGTGGCTACTGTCGGCGATCATTATTATTATTAGCCTGTTCGTGTGGCTCATTTGCTATTTGCTGCGGTGTGTATTATTTACACCTTTTATTACAGCTATCATTATAGACAACATCAAACGATCCCGACTGCCAGATTGCTACATGTGCGCAAAACTATATAGAACCGTGTCTGTTTCCATGTCTGCTCTTGGCACCTGCTCATTATTACAGGCTACCCTGTGCTCAGCGGAGGAGACACTTGAGGGTTTGAAGTTGTACCAGATCTGTCCAGAGCCCTAATGACGCAGACCTGCGTGCATTACACAGAGCCAGACCCCTGCTTCTCATATTAACCTCAATATATTAACCATGTGGAATATGACTGTCAGAGCAATGCTGGCGAGGTCTCAATATTCAACTTCTCAGATTTCGTAATGGTCTATTTCCCAGTACCTGGTTATAATTTTAGCAGGGTTCGAAATAACCATTAAAAATATTTATTTATTAATGAATTATATGGTTGTATTTGTTTACTAACACATATTGTGCACTGCAGGTGGATCCCAAGGCAATTTGGGAACCACATGGCAGTGATGGTGACTGTGCATCATCTTATCACCTTTCTGAATAATTCTTCTAACAGCATTCAGTCCTTAAAGTAGTTGTCTCGCTAAATTTTCTGATCAGCATTGTAATATATTGTGTTATTACAGAGCTCCTAAGGAAAACATCAAAGTTAAATAATGCGTGCTGGTGGTGCAGTTGTCTGCCATCTAGTTGTATCCTACAATTCACTGGCTTTTATCATTTAATGTTATTAAGAGAGAGACATGGGTAATTTAATTTACTAATGGTAATTATGATGTAGATTGTCTGTAGAAGCAAAATAGGGGGTGTTGATGGGGACAGCATGCTGGGTAAAATAACAGTGTACGCAAAAGATTTAAATGTGAATATTTTGTTATTTATCCTACCCTAAAAATGTAGTTACCTTCACTTCCTTCACTGAATGTCAGAACAGAAATATTTCCTCCATGCTTTAGTCTTGTCTTTCTTTTTTTTTTCTGCCCCTCTTTTTGTCAACCCATCCTGGTTTTCAGGCGTTACACGAGGTCTACAAAGCTCTCCAGTTCTCTCGGTCAGCAAGATCAACTTGTGTCAGGCCTCTGCTGAGGATGACATATTTGTGTCAGTGACTGTTCTCATTCCAATCTGAGGAGTCATACACGGGCCTACGTACATTTGTATCTAGCAGCGTAATCGCAAAAATGATTTGAGGAAATGCAGAGGCAGGCAGTGTCTACAGAGCCGAACGTCATGCATTTCCACTGCAGCCTGACCTTGTGAGGGAAACTGGCTCTTCCTGGTTGCAGGCTAGTCTTGGTGCGCCGCTTTGTCCCCAGGCCTGGCTTCCTGCCTGTCTTGCGCTGCAGGCCGGGCTGCTCACTGGGCCTCAGGTGATCGACAAGCAGATTATGGAAACAAACAAAGCGTGTTTGCTCTCTCCACATAGAGACATGACTCCAAGTTGCTAAACTCACAGCCTCGTAGATTCTTTTCCTGCATATGCATTACAAAGCATAAAGCACACAGTCATATTACACTGTGAACTGGACAGGGTCGAGTTCCATGTAGATATTACAAAGGCATTTCTACAAGCATTCCTGCCTTTGAGTTACGCTTGGATATTCAGGCTCTGTGAGTCCAGTGCCGTATGGTACTGGCACAGTATGGAAGCAAACTCAGTCAAAGGCACAGAGGAAAGCAGCGCTTTGTGGTAGCCGTGCTGGCTGCACTGCATACACACAGACAGTATGGCTGCTGGAGAATTAGCAAGGGAGGAATAAGACTGCTGAGCAGAGAGGGAAAACATCAAATCCCTTGCAGTTATAGACAGTGTTTGAAATGTAAATGAGCAGTCAGTGCAAGGTTCTCTGTAGTAGACCCCCTGGTGCGCAGGGGAGAAAACTGCCATTTTCTTATGGGATTGCTGAACTACATTTGTGTTGGCCATATCAGCTCTTTAAGGAATGGCCACACAAATTTGATAAACGGTTTGCGCCCCGGCCGCTTCGGCTTACCGCGGTGAACGTGCCGTTTCAGGTCCCTTTGGAATTGCATGGAAAACGTGTAACTAGGGGATGTGGCATTTCCATCCACAGAACAGAGCACAGCAAATTAAGCGATGAACATTTCGTGTACACATTTCATACTTCAGTTGTTTTGTTTGTTTGTTTGTTTTGTCAGTAATATTCATTCGCTCATCCATATTCATAAGACAGGAAGCTAATTGGCTGGGTTGTTTTGAAGCAACCCACTTGGTTTTTTTGGAGACTTCAAGGTGATGATATGGCGTTTTGTCATTGCCACTGGTGGTGAGTGGGTTTGAAACCTCACTATAATGCAAGTCACAGAGGCGCTCTGGAGCTGAGGAAGCAGCCAAGCTGAAGGTCTGAAAGAAACAGTCTTGTTTGTGCCTCAGAAAATAGGGGGCTGGTAAGGGGATCTTTCTCCTGCTGTAGTTAGAGGACAAAAATCTGCAGCTTTTTGCACAAACGCACTCCCGTCACTCCTTGCTTGCTTTTATCATTTACAGATTGTGACAGATTTAAAGGTGATACCAGAATTTGATGTCATAGCATCAACTGCAATGATAACAATCACATACTGAACTGAAACGTATGAACTTTGTGATTTTAAGCGTCACGCGCCATTGACAGTACACTTGCTATTATTACCAGCTTTACACATGGTTAAACTTGAATTGAGGTGTTTACTGAGTGAGACCCGGAGGCATATTGAAGTCAGTCTGTTCACAAACTTGTTTGACTACAAATATTTTGCTTCCCTGTTTAAAGTGTCATTAGCATGAGCCCACCAAAGTCCTTGGATGGCTGGTCTGAGGTGGCTGGATTCTCCCACCTCTGGTTTCTGTTCTAGGCTGCAAGTTAACCCAGCCCTCCTCTGTCTTTCAAAGCATAAACAAACACATCTAATCTTTCCCAGCTACACAAATATCACCAGCGGCGGAATATTCCACGATCACCGGGGTAAATCTAGTCATTATCCTGTGAAATCTGTTAAGACCTATTTAAGCTGTCAGCCCTAAGAAGTCAGATCTTTGACAGCAGCCCACACCAGACACATTGCTTTCTAAACAGGGTTTACGGTGTGTGTGTGTTTGTGCGTACATTTGTGCGTCTGTGCTTAGGGTTCAGAAGTGAAACTAAAGCAGGTCCTGATATCAGATGGAAGATGTTAAAGTCATCAGCTGTTATCATTGGAATTGCGTCTCAGCTCATATCTTACAACACAAAGCGAAAGTATTTTGCACGCCAAAAAGCATAAACTACACTTGCACAGGTCAAATGTGTGAATGGAAATCCTTATTTTTGTCAAACTTTAGGAAGAAGCAATCATTCCTATTTTATTTATACAGGCCACTCCCACATCCTCACAAGTCACTGTACAGCTGGTCATGCAGCTTGAGAGAGAGGATGCAAACACTTCCTACCTAACGAGCGGCCGGCAGACTCGGCCCTCACCTCCCTCCCTTTTCCTCCCTGAGGTGGAACATGCCACAGCAGCAGACTCTGTGGTCGTCAGTTCCAGCCACAAGGCTACGTTATCTCTGTCCACCACTCCCAGCAATGCAGCTCCCACAGCGGCAGTGCACACAAAAACACAACTAGCTTGGCTAATCATTTCAGTTGCAGGGACGTTCTGGCAAAACAGGACGAGAAAAAAAAGCTGTAAAGTCGCTGTCAGAGACACCGCTGCATAAAATCGTCTTTGGATTTCCTGCTGCTCTCAAGTCATGCCTCTCCCTTTTTCATGTTCAAAGCCAAGAAGCTTACGTGAGATCTCCACAGACTCAGAAATGCTTAGTTGCTGCCTTTCCAGGAAAATCCTTCTCAAAAAACAATCAACATACAACACATAAAGTCATCCAGGGAGTTACAGTGGAATCTGGTAAATATATTAGGATGTTAGAGCCTCGTGACTTGTGTCAGAGTGTGTTTTGCCAGATCGTCTCCTGCCCCTCAGCAAGCTCCAGGCCTGATCTGTGTGACACAAGCTGAGCAGGTGTGGTGACGGCTTGCTGCTGAACTGTTTCCCAGAGGGTCAAAGGGTAACTGGGAGGTATTTTTGTTGGGAATTTACAGCCAAACTGAAGGAGGCGCTCGCACAGGATCACCCTATTAATACACCCTTGACGCCTCGTTGTCGCAGTTATGAGGCATTTCCTACTCTATCTATCTATCTATCTATCTATCTATCTATCTATCTATCTATCTATCTATCTATCTATCTATCTATCTATCTATCTATCTATCTATCTATCT